CATATTCCGAATCATTTTCCCGAATTTAGGAAAAATTATCAAAACGGTAAAAAACATTTGCGGAAAGAAAAATTTTTGTAGAACTCTCTTATCCATAGGAGGGAACCGGACATCCAATCGTGGGCCTTTGGCATATCATGAATACGAACTGAGTTCTAGAGGATGTTCGGTGCAATGTTATCGAATCAGAACCATTACCGAAATTTATAAATTTTTTGTCGTAGCGCGTAAATGACTTATAGAAAGCGGAGAAGACTCTGCATGATATTACTATAAAACATTTCTTCTAAATTTTTAGTTTTTAAAATAATATTTTCTTAATTTATTACAACCAAAGTTATGTAAATATGTATTACTAATTTTCCTCCCAAACTAACAAAAATATAAAAATCCCTGAAAATACGAAAATTCCTGTTTTTATGATAGGCTATATTTCAATGTCCTCAACTGTATATTGAAAACACAAATGTCATTTGACTTATGGCATGAGAATTTGTGGTTGCCACATCCAACAAATTGTACTTATTGACCAATATTATTGAAGATTTGACGAAGATTTAACTTAAATCTACTGCCTTTCGAGATTTAATTTTATATGGTAAATCTCAAAAGATTTAACGTAAAATCTCGTCAGAGGGCTAAATCTTCATTAAATCTCACAATGGAGACATAGTATAATTGAGGAAATTTCAATTGATAGCACCGACAAATGAATATATACATAAACAAATTTTCGGTTATGGTTAAAACAATTCAAGTTTTTGTATTGAATTTTTTGTTTAAAATTTCGTGTGTCCTTTTCAGTAGGATTTTTGCACATTATCTTCTCTGTGCGAATTGATCGTGATAGAACGGATCTGAATAAGCGACTGGATCATGGCTGTTTGTCAAAAGCATACGATTTACTGTACATTTAATGTACATTTGCTAAATGCGATAGCATGAACAATCTTCGTAAAAATGTGTTCGAAAGTGCTAAATGTAGCCTTTTATATATAAAAAAGCTTCGTCAATGCATTTTAAAATTATCCGCAAACTATCGAAAGTGTTAAGTTCTATTTTTATATGAAACTTTGCTAGTGAAACTGCAAAGTATTTAACAACAAATTAGTTAAATACTATTACTAATAAAGTGAAAAGAGTGATAAATAATGTAAATGTATACGTTTCTTAACATCCCCGCCACGTTTCATGACAAAATTCGTGATCAGTGATCGGACTTCTACCACATTATGGTAGATCTGCCACTTTTTTGAGCATCTACCACATCTACCACACAAGGTCCGCAATCTACCACATATTCGTGTTTTTGAGTAGTTTTAGTTTTGCTCGACAATTGAATGGTCGCCTCAAATAACGTTGTAAGCGACAAAATTATAATTTTATGAAATAAAAAAAAACTTGTTTACTGACGCACAAACGGGGATTAGATTTGGTTTTCTACTTTTTCGGTATAGCACTCTTCAACAATCTTGCCTTTAAAAAAATAAAATATACACATTAATATCTTTAAAATCAAGGAAAGTAGCTTTGAACCAATAGTCGCTTACAACGTTATTTGAGGCGACTATTCAATTGTCCAACACTAAACACTAAGGGCCGGTTACTCAATGTCTGGTTAACACTAATCTCCGGTTAAACATAGTTATCGACGTTACCGACTCCCTGTTGTATGCATGGAGTCGAACACGTCGATAACGGTGTTTAACCTCAGATTACTGTTAACCAGACATTAAGGAACCGGCCCTAAGAGCAGGCAGAATGGAAGGATAAAATAAACTGTAAAATAGTACATTTTTTCAATATTCAATTTCTTGACAGGAGAAGTGGTTTTATTGTTTTAAATTGCAAAATATATGATTTATAAAAAGAATTAATAGCGAAAATGATAATAAACGGTGATTTTTGTGAAAGCATTAGCAAATTTCAGTGCATATAAAGTTTCAAAAGCGTTGTTTACTTTTACTTGAGTCAAGTAGCGGTTTCTAGAACGTGCCATATTTGTTCGCTACATCCTGATGTGATAAAAAGAAAAGCTGGCAGCACTCCGCAAGGTTGCAGAAATATGTTTTAAAAATATCTTGATATGGAAGGAACTGCTTTACAATGTCAAGGAATAAATTTTCCTAAACTCAACACAAGTTGCTATTTCAATTTTGCACTTTACTATACTAAAATTAATTCTTTTCTTAGATTTTAATTAAAATGTTTGCAATTTGGGTGAAACCGTGCAGACTTTTTTAAAATGCCAATTATCATCTCATTAACCTAGCGATATGTTAAAGTGAAAAGTTACTAAGACCACTTTTTTGAAAACTCATAGATATAGGCTGACTTCAAAACGTCTATTGCTTTGCATACGTACAAAGTATAATGTTCCATAACGCCGAACTACAAAATATTGAAAATGTATACTTTTCCAAAACGCATGCGAAAAGGTATCGAGCCGCATCGGTAGAGCAATCAGCGCATCAGAAACAAAGTTGATGCTTCGTTTGGTATTGGTTACCATTGGTGTTTTAGAAATGGAAAATTCAGAAAAATTGTTCATTGCTATATTGAATAGCTGCATGTTTTTGTAAGCGAGCGACAAAAGAACGCTCAACTCGGGTAAAATTTGCTTTTAACTACTTAAGCAACCCTGCCGGTAGCTGGCAAGAAACATGTGATTAGTTCAACGGAATGTAGACATGTATTTGCGTAATATATATACTTATTTAAAATATATACCATGTATATACGAAAATCTCCCTCTCCACTTTCCCACTAACAATTCACAATAGAGCAGTTTTCTCACTTAACAACACTACTCTTCAGGTCGCGTATGCTTTAACCGACCTGGCTCAACTCGGATAAATAGGCGAGTTTGTGTTGTTGCTTTGCGTGTATTTCGTTATTAAAGCGAGTGTTCTTTTGTAGCTCGGTTGCCAAAGAATGGGCCTAATATTTAAAATATGCAATGTATATGGGTGCAATGTGCAATGCAACTCTGCATATACAAACACTTTAAATACCGCAGTATAACAGTATCTAAACATTGTATTAACCAAGGAATTCAACGGTATGCTTTTCTTTCTCCTCCGACTACGCTGCTTATCAGGCAAGCCTATTAAAAATGGGGAAAAATCGTTGCTGATTGCATATTGGTATTTACATGTTCACTATGGTTTACTTTAACTGAATTTGTAACATAAAATTATGAGACCAACCGATTTATTGTAATTAAAACATGGAGGTGCTTATAGTGTTTTCTTTTCTACACGAATATGTTGCCATACCGAGGTGCGAAAGTCTTTTAAAGTTGCACTTCACCCTGTGAATTTGGCACCCTGCTTAGGGTTCAGTGTAGCCCTTCACACTGACAAAGGATCACAAACTGCAACCCTGAAATGCAATCAGAAAATTTGAGAAAATGAAAATTGATAGAAAAGTAAAAGCCGAAAATGCGTATCCTTAAATAACGCTTTTTTGCAGTATGGACGGAAGCCGAAACGAGACTCTTGCTGGATAAGTACGCTTCCTTTTTGCCGGACATTGGGCCCTTCAAGCAGTTAAAGACAAAGAAGGATATGTGGATGAAGATTGGCGCTGGGTTCGACGGGAAAAGTTGGAAGCAGTGTGAAGAAAGGTACAAGACCATCATGAAACGAAAAAATGCGGCAGTGGAAAATAACAGAAGCTCAGGTGCAAAACGCCAAAAAAAAATTGCAAACTGGTTGATTCAATTGAGCCGGCAATAAAACTGAGTAGCCAATGTATAGTTAAAAAAGAGGTCTCACCAAAAGAAAAGCAAAGAAAGAAAAAAACGATGCAAGAAACTCTAATTGAAATTGCTGCTAGGAAAGAGGAAGCCAGGGAGAAGCGACACAAGGAGAGAATGGGGAAAGCTACAAGAATCGAAAGCCTTATGGAAAAATGTTTGACTGAAATCAAACCAGCTTAAAGCTGCGGGTGTGCGAGATATACACCCCTATTCTGCAACTCTTTCGTATTCGGATTTTGCTACGAATCGTAGAAATAGTATGCTGCGATCCGAATTGTATTTTCGAACTTTCGAAATTCGTAACAATGGCATGCCTAAAAATGAACTTTTTTGCGTAATTTTGTACAAAAACAATTCTGTGTCGGAGTCGAAATAAAAGATGTAAATCGATGTGTGTTTGCAAGAAATATTGGTAATGAACACCACCACATAAATTTGCCTTTCGCATATACGTATATTTTTATCCACTGCTTTATATAAACGAGCAAAAAAGAATATTTGTTGCCCCTTATCGAGAAACTTGGGCCCGGTTTAGTTAATGTACAACGATTTTCGGTTGTTGTGTCCAAACGCATAACCCGAATCCATAAACTTTAACATACACGTGTAATCAAAAGATTCACATTTCATTTGGGATATATGTTTCACATTTCCTACCACTAGCTTATTGATAAACTCAGTTTGCACTATGCACTTTTTGCAAATTTCGACGTGGGGTCTGCGCAAAAATACTGTGGACGGCGTAGCCGGAGTAATATGCACAAGAAATGTTGTATACCTTTGACAGGCAAAAGCCCTTCCTCCCCGCAACACAGAAAGGAGAATTCTACTTAGTAAGGGTTATAATCCCTGAGCGCGGCCGAAGGCAGAAGCAAGCGCAACAGGTGGTGGACCTGACAAAGTGCATGTTTTCAATGGCTTGGAAGAAGCTGTTATTGCATTAACTGGATTGAGAACCAGACCTTCAGGTATAGGAGGAGTTCTGGCTTGTGGTTCAACAATTCAACCACAAGCTGACATAGATGCGCCCATGGTTACTATGCCCGACAGCTCCGCATACCTTTGTGAATCCATTGCCATAGCGCCCGCTTACTCTGCTGCTATAATTGCAAATACATCAGAATCCATAATTGTCCTCAAAATATGTAAAATTAACCAATTTTACAATAAACAAGCACATGATGAGTGTTTTTTTTAATTCTTTTCCACTTTGTTTTCCTTCATTCAGCTATCTTCGAAAAACAACTGATAGCTGGCAATGCTGCAGCATGTGGATTTTTCGTTTTTCGTAGCATAGCTACCAATTACGAACTACGAAAATTCGGGTTCTAGAATAAGGGGATAGTTATAAAATCAGGTTTAAATTGTATATGCTGCTTATTATCTATAAAGTTATAATATATATTTTTTAGCTCTTGGTTTGCAGGCTTCTGCAAATGGATGTAAAATGATTGCAAGTGCCTTTCGTTTCTGGCCCAACGTTTCTCCAAATAATATTTTCATCGGCGCCCTTCGCTCATTTACAACAACTGACTGTTCTCCATCACCATATCTATGCCATTGACGGCCAAATCCACATCACCTTTATACGGCGTGTTCGGAAACACTGCTCTTGCTAGTGGTTCGGATTTCGGAGAAACTTGAACAGCAACAACGGCACCAACAGAACATTCGGTGTAAGTAAGCAAATTCGAATAACTAGCGATTAAATGCTGAAAAATATACACATCTTTTTTCAGCTTTGGCAAACCTGTACCTGTACAAACATTCCCCAAGCCATACAAATGCCCACATTGACGTTGCTGCCAGTGATTTTGTATCTGCCAGATGAGCCGACCGTTGCACCAATCGTGGCATTGGCAAAAACACATTTATAGATTTAGGCGTATAACTGGCGTTTGCCATTATACGATAGTTGACCATTTATTTATTTCTTAACTTGAATCTATTTTTATAATAATACAAACCATTTGTATTTGTATTGTAGAATTTGGTATAAATTACAATACAATTACAATTTTCCAACACTGCGGTGGACCAGAAAGAGAAAATCACTTAAACTTATTTTATATTCTGTTAAAGCCTACAAACCAAAATATGTAAATACAGTAAAGGGATCCACAAGATTTTATAACGCTTAATAACGTCTTAAAAGCATACATAAGTATATGTAATTTCATGAATTAAAAACTAAACTTTTAAGCAGCTATAATATTGTATGAGTAGGAACTGCTTGTATATTTTGCAATTAAATATTCCGCACTTTCACGTTCAACGCAAAAATTTCGTTTAAACTACAAATGCATAAATATAAAAATATACAGTATATAAACAAGGGGAAATGTTTAGTTATTTGTACAACGATTTTGTGGTGTGAGCGGAGGAAAAGGGGCGTGGTCCTCCAAACCCACCCTAAACGAATAAGGATGGTTCGCGTTTGAGCACACCAACTCAACATCGTTGTACAAATAACAAAACAGTACCCTAAACAAGCATTGAGAAAAATTATGAAAGGAGTGTTTAGTATTTTGCCCACTAGTTTGAGGGCGGTACGGGGAAATGCATGGGCGTTCTTCATGAAACTCCACCCACTGGATAAAGCGTAAACCAAACTTCACAAAGAAAGTATGATTCTCTGAAACTTGGTGAGCGAAATACTAATCCGTGCCCGTATGAAAAAAATACCTCGCGGCCTGTGTACAAGTTGACTACTTCATCTATAAAGGCTTTTACATGTAAGCAATTCACTTTTGGATGTAAAAGCACTCCGATTTCCTCAATATCTGACTCCAAGGGGTCATTTATTACTTTTGTTCCTACAAACAAGCAGCGTTTTTCCATTTTCGCCAACAATTCTCTTCCACCTGTGACACCAAAAATTTCTGTGTAAGTAACTACAAATATATAAACTCCATCTTCTGGGAAACATATTTACCTGACAAAATACAATCAGTTTTCCTGATTTAGGTTATTAAAATTTACAAAGATCCCGGGCACCTAGAATATTTTAATAATTTTATGCCTAAGCATAAAGTTTGCGTTTTCGATTCACGAGCGCCAAAATGAAATGTCAAAAATGTTCACACTTTATCTGTGCTGCTTTAACATTGCCGATATATGCGTGCTAAAACGAGACAAGAGAGGTACTATTTTTACGTGATGTTACTATTGATCAGCTGATTGAAAGGGCAATTATCTCCCTTGTCGTTAGCAGAGAGGGCGAAATATGTTACATTTTCCCACATTTTTAGGGTAACCCTGTGAGAAAAGATAGCTCTGCCCTCTGCAAAGATTGCATTCATTTTACAAAAGAACACAGCATTTTAAAGTGGCAGCATCAGGGCAGAATTTTATGGAGAAACAAAAACGCTATTAGTGTTGCCAAGCAGAGAGGGCGAAATATGTTACATTTTACCACATTTTTAGGGTAACCCTGTGAGAAAAGATAGCTCTGCCCTCTGCAAAGATTGCATTTATTTTACAAAAGAATACAGCATTTTAAAGTGGCAGCATTAGGGCAGAATTTTATGGAGAAAAAAAAAGACGCTATTAGTGTTGCGAATTTATTTTTATTATAAAGGGGTTTAATTAGTGATGCCAATAGCAACAAATGATACAGATTTTAAGTTTTTTACAATTGAAGAAATTAAAGAAGAAAGAAGTTCCGCCTAACTTCTTTGGCAAGACAGAAAGGAGAATTCTGCTTAGTAAGGGTTATGATCCCCAAGCGCGGCCGAAGGCCGCCTACGCAGAAAGAAGTTCTGCCACTCTTCTTCGGCAACACAGAAAGGAGAACTCTGCCTATTAAGGGTTATGATCCCTAAGCGCTGCAGAAAACCGCCTACGCAGAAAGAAGTTCTGTTTTTCTCCGGCAACACAAAGAGGAGAATTCTGCGCAGTAAGTATTGTGATTCCTAAGCGCGGCCGAAGGCCGCCTACGCAGAGAAAAGTTCTGACATTCTTCTCCGGCAACAATAAAAATCCAGTAATTACAATCAGAATTACATAAGGAAATAGACTTGTGAATGGGCGCATTCTTATATACATACCGGAAATTAATATTACGTTTATAAGCACGTATTATTTGCAAATAACAATTTGCAAAATGGAAACGTTTTCCGTATAAACGCCGAGTTAATTTTTTATTTGCAAATAACTAAATCACACAAATAAGTATTGATTAGTGGTACTATTTGCAAATAAGCGCAAGACGCCACCAATTCTTAGGTTTATTTTCTTTTTCGATGGTCATCTTATTGCCTTTTTATAATCAAGACGTTGCAATTTTTAACTTTATTTTATTTTTCGATGGTCTTATATAATCAGGCAATATTAAAAAAAAAATTTTCACCATCGAATAAACAGTGAGTTAGGTATTTGCAAATTATTTTTATTTGCAAATAGCTAATGTATAAACGTAGCAATAAACGCAATCTAAATTTAATTTCATTTCTTTAATTGTAAAAACCTTAAAATCTTCCACATTTATTGCAACTGGCATCACTAATTAAAGCCTTTTCTGATAATAATAAATTGGCAACACCAAGCATTTCCATGTTTTAATTAAACATAGCGGGATTTTCGCAGCTAGTTTTCGCTTTGATATTTCAATAAATCGGTTAGTTTCGTAATTTTATGTTACAAATGCAGTTAAAGTAAACCATAGTATTCCATTCATTCATTTCGTGCATTTATTAATACGATTTTAGCATTATACCTACGGTGACCATCCGTCCTGTATTATACGGGACAGTCCTCTTTTTTGACTCGTTGTCCTGTACATTTTTTTTTGTTATATGGAACGCCAAGTGTTCTGTATTTCTTTTAATGCCCGGTATTTATTCCGTATTCGGTGTCTCGACGCCTTAAAAGCTCATTAACATTACATGCCTATGAACTAGTTTTAAGTGATGTTGGTATATGACCACAATTTTCTCCATAAAAAGTTATTGTTTTCTAATCTGAATTCCTGTGTTCCGATTCGAGGAATACATACAGTGATCGACATATAAATTTGGACTCAACATTTTAGCAAGGTTTGGCTATATTTCCTTAGTTTATTATTAGCATACAAATTCCTCAAAGAGTTTTTGGCTAGTGTTGCTGGAGTGACAGTCCTTGGCCAGATATAAATCTGGGTCGTTTCGGTTACGGGAACGCGCCTAAATTCATGCTGCATGGGCGAAAGTTTCCTTCATTAAATTAATGAAACTTTTGTGCATGAACTTCTCAACTGTCATGTATTAAAACTGTCTTATGTTATAAATTAATGGCAGTTCAAAGTATGCTCGGCCTAGTCTGATGCATCCTCAGGTCAATGCTTGCGGAGCCATTTGCGGACTCTGCATGACTTACAATCTTGCAGAGGTGGTAAAAGAACTTTTCCATTGGCTACTGTGCCTACGAGCCATTGTGGCACAAATAAAATTTTGTTATATGAAAATACAATCTCACTGATTCATTTTAATACCAGATTTCTAAATTTGTGCAAAAAAACTATAAAAATTAATTCTGCAATGTTTCACCAAAATTTCAAACTCTTTAATTAGAATCCTTAGAAAAAAAATTGGTTTGCAGTTTTGTACCTACCTCATTAAAATTGAGTATAATAAAGTGCCCTTCTTTTAAAAAAATGTTCGAACATAATTACTTTGTACGAAAAAATTGCGATTGAAAATTTAACGACTTTTTTAACAAATTTTGAGAGGTAAAAATCTCGAGAAAATTTTCCTACAAATTTGTGATGTTACTAAAAGGATGCTGTTTCAGGGCTAATACATCTAGGATCATTGAAGAAGGCTTTAAGATCTGCAAGTTTTTGTAGAAAAAATTGCAAAATTATTTGGTGTCCCGTATTCGGCTCCCATAAATATGGTCACCGTAATTATACCATGTTCTGACCGATATCGAAAACACGTTTTCGTTCTAATACCATGTTCGGACCGACAACGAAAACACTTGAAAACGAGTTTTGGGATTGTGGACTGAAAGCTGTTCCCACTAGGCATGAGTAACACTGCGCTGCGCGGCGCAATTCCGTTAACATCGTAGCCGGAGTTGCCGCGCCAACACCAATATACGAAAAGCGCTAGCGCCATTAACACCAAAAATACATGAGACACACAATTCCTGTTTATTCTTTGAAAAATTACAAGTACTTTTGCTTTCGAGCGGTGAGACCGCCAGAAACTTATGTATCTTGGCAAATTTAAAGCTTTTACTCAAGAAAGAAAGAAAGTATCGTGGCATTTATTGAGACCGCTAATTAAGTGCGTGATGATGGGTACGTCGTCCACCATACCTTGACGACCTATCGTTAGCATTGAATAATAATACTCCAGGTAATCTTCTCCGTTTCTACGTTTACGCTTCATTAGCGCTTTGTGTGTTTCTGCTGCGTTATGCGTAGACGGGAAATCTATGTTACATGCTTATACGAATTGAGACCAAGACCGGAAAACCGGTTGGGCATCCAGCCAGCGTTTGGCCATGCTATTCATTTTGTGCTGGACTGCAACCAAAACCATCTCCTTTGGCCACCCGTAGCACTGTTGTAGTTATTCAGTTCGTATTACAAACTGCGTTGCAGACGTAGAACCTCTGAGCGGGTCAAACTAAGGCATTATACCAATCATCTCCTGGATCGATATCTTTGTACGTGATGGACTGCGTGAATCATTGGCTGATTCCCCCATGAGAATGGTTGAGCCTGGTCTAACATCACCGCTGTCGTTGGACCCATGTTGCACTTCACCGCTATCTGTTGCGGGTGTCGAATTGCGATTAACCCTACTAATAGGTTATGTTAAACTCGTCAACTCTAAAGCTATTGATTTGCGTTTGAAAATCGTTTGCGGACGTCATAGAGTCATCTTCGAGCTCCGGTGAATCGATTTCATCCGTGCCCAAAACTTCTTGCAGCTTTAAAATCAGCCATTGGCAATTCGTTAGCTCTTAGCAGCGCATTCAGCTGACTGGCCCTCAAAGTGACTAGCTTTATCATATTTAAACAAACTTTCTTAGTGAAAATTTAAAAGCCGTACTGAATTGAATTTCACCGTCCTTTTATTTATTTTGCTTTGCTTTCGTATTCGTTGGACTTTCTTATTAGAATGGTGCCCACGCCCCAAACACACTCGCTTTTGATTTTGTGTTTTAAATTTTAGCCGTTGGCTCGTTGCTGCTTCCAAACTAAATTGACGTCGAATCATAAATCGTAACGGCGCAGTCAAAACGTATGCAAAGACGTCGGCGTCGTTTGCGCCTATGTTGCTTCAACCGCTTGCTCGTT